CCTCCTTGCCTGCAGGAGGGGCTCTGAGAAGAGGGGCCTCAGGTTCCAAATTAATCCCACTGTGCATCCAGCAGAACCCAGAATGCCTGTTGAGAAGCGCTGTCCCCGGCTGTATCACCATGGAAATGTGTGACACGTTCGTTGATGAGCTGCCTGTCTCCAGATGGACATCTTCATTCTCAGCACCAGCCTTTGACAGGCCGTTTTTAAGTATTTGCTTTGTACAAATTGCAGCTTGTCTGAGGGTCTTGCTTGCTTTTTTGTTTTATACCATGATGAATTTTGTGCAGTGTGTTGTGTAAGTAATAATGATAGGTCTGGCTTTGTAGTGTTGGCTGTTTGTTTTCCCTTCCTTTGTATGTGGTCAGATTGTGTTCCTCTAACACTGCTTGCTTTGTCCAGCCAGCGGGGGTTGTTAATGACATGTTAAAACCTATCTGCTTTCTAAATTGGTAGGGTTCTATCTTGATTGAGAAAAAAAAAGTAAAGAAAAAAGAAGCCTATGTTTGGAATAATGTTGCTTTGAAGGTCACATTACCAGGAGCTTTTCCATTTCATTGGAGAAAAATATTAGAAAAATATTAATAGTTTGTCCACTACTTTCAATTCAGTTGTGTTCCCTGAAGGGATAAGAAAATAAAGACAGAATACTGCCAGGGTGCTCTGAGGGCATCTACACCAGCCTGTGGCTTTGTGGATAGGAAAGGGCAGTGAGCCAGTGAGGATAGGTCCTCTCTGGAGGGCCGAGACCTCCTGCTATGCAGGGTGCAGAGGCCCATCTGGGGCTTTCAGGAAGATTCCGCTCGGGTCCTAAAATATTGTGTGCTTTTTTAATTCCTTTCTTCTGTGGGTTGGGCCCTACAGACAAAATCATAGAGTCCACTGTAATTATGATCTATCTATATATCATATAGTATAACATATGAACTTTGTGTGCATCTTATATGTACTAGAGATAACATGCATGTTACTTATATGTAAATAATCTGAGATTCACCAGAAGAAACTAAGATCACAATTAAATTCAGTTTTTTTTTAATTTTAAAGAAAATAAAACAAAACGAAGCAGTCAGAACAGAACAATGCAAGCAACACAAGACTTCTAAACAAGACCATAGGAGATCAACAGTGGCTAACATAATGTCTCTCGTTTTCTTCAAAATAGTTGTCCACATACAATATACTCAAAGCAAAATAGTGTAAAACCAATCAAAACAAAAGAATGAAAGCATTTATGGGCCTTGAAAAACAGACAGTAGGAAATCAGCAGTGGCTACCAGCATGTCTCTTTGTTTTCTTCAACATAGCTGTCCATACCTTCACACATATTGAAATAAAATCAGAGAAAATAGACTCAAACTAGGCAAAACAAAGAATAAAAGCATTGCTGGGTTTCAGAATAAGATGATAAGAAATTAGCAGTGGCGATCATAATGTCTCATTTTCTTCAAAATAGCTGTTCATACCATCCCACATAACAAAATCAACTCTTACTTACAAACTCTTTAGGACAAGTTCCAGGAATGTATAAACGTATACATGTGCATCTATCCTTTATATAGTAGAGGGAAAAACAAAACAAAACAGTATAAAAGAAAAACAAGAAACAAAAAAGACAAATAACAATAACAGAGAGCCCAAAACAATGGCAAATAGGCTTTCAAAACAAGGTGTTAGGAACATAGTTTAGGTTGTTATTTTGCATAGTTGTCTTCAAAAGAATTACTTAGATTACCAAATGTGGGCATGCAAAATTGATCGAATCCTATGAATATTAACTGTTTCATTCCAAGAACTAATAGAATTAGTAGCACAGTCATGTTAGCTATCTTATATGTATGTATACAAATTTATATCTTTTTTCTTTTCCCTTCCTTCTTTTTTCCTTTTCCCTGAGTTGTATTTTCCCTTTTGAGCAGTTTCTTGCCCTCTCACAGTGTTTATTGAAGATTTTGTATCTTATTTACTCTTTGAGTTTCTTACACTAGGGAGACAATGTGGTATTTACACATGTGAGTTTATTTCACTTATTGAGTATGGTCTCAAGTCGCATCCATTTACCTATAAAAGCCCCAATGTGATCCTTCTTTATAGCTGAATAGTACTCCATTGTATAAAAATACTAGTCCTCAGTTGTTGGGCATTTGGGTTTTTGCAAGATTTAACTGACAAATTGTGCTGCTATAAACATGGATGCACATGTATCATTATGGTATAATGTTTTCAGTTCTTCTGGGAATACACTGAGGAAGGGTCAAATACGATTTCTAATCCCAGCTTTCTGAGATGTCTCCAGACTGATTTGCACAGTGATTGCATCAGTCTACACTCCCATCAACAGTGCAGAAGAGTTCCTTTTTTCCTCACAGCTTTCCCAGCATTTGTTATTGGTGGTTTTCTTGATCATGGCCATTATTTCTCTAATGACCAATAATGTCGAACATTTTTTCATGTATTTCTTGCCATTTGTATTTTTTCAGCTGGGAACTGTGTATTCATCTTGGATGCCTGTTTTTGGATTGGTCTTTGAATTTTGGGGGTCTGATTTTTAAAAATTCTCTATATGTTCTAGATATAGTCCTTCACCTGGAGAACAGTTGGCTAAGATTTTTTTCCCAATTCATGGGTTTTCTTTTCACTCTGTTGGAGACTTCTTTAGACATGCAAAACTTTTTAATAAGATGATATCTGAGTTGTTGATTCTGGGAAGTGTTTCCCATGCAACATGATTTTTGTCCATGAATTTTCTGCCTGCCCCTATGGCTTCAAGATTTTTACCTACTTTGTCTTTCAGCAGATTTAGTGTTTCTGTTTTAATGTTTAGATCTTAGATCCATTTTGACTTTATGGTAATAGGCATGGGTCTAGTTTTAGTTTTCAGCATATGGAGAGCCAGTTTTTCTAGTACTACTTATTAAAGAGGCTATCTTTCTTCAGTGAACATATTTGGTCCATTTATCAAAGATAAGGTGGCTGAGTGTGTTTGGAGTTGTGGTTGTGTCTTCTGTTCTGTTCCACTGATTTGCAGGTCTGTTTTTATTCCAGTATCATCCTGATTTTATCACAGTAGCTTTGGAGTATAACTTCAGGTCAGGGATTGTGATGCCTCCTGCCTTGCCTTTGTTGGCCAGAATTGCCTTTACTATTCTAGGTCTTTTCTGGTTCCAGAAGAATTTTAGTTGAATTCAGTTATTAAATGTTAGTAATTTTCTCATAGAGCCATAATTTATAAATATTAATCTCCCAAATTGAAGTTGGGAGACCAACTTTTAATTTTTTATTTTATCTTTATTTTTGTATCTGTATATTATATTGGAGATATAATTTGTCTCTTCTTTTTTATCTTAACAATTGCTTTCCTGCTGAGTAAATAATCCTTAATTAATTAAATGTGTAGAGATTAATTTACTTCCATGTTTCTCTTCTGTATACCAAAGTGAATTGTGGAAAAATTTCATGTTGTAATTGTAGATCAGAATCCATTGATTAACTTAATACATTTAGGACTTCGGATTCCTACAGGGCTTATTACTGTACTCTCATACCAGTCTCTTAATTTTCTTTTAGGAAAACACAGAATTAATACCTACTTTGAATTATAGGTGGAATAAAATAATTGGCTTAGCCTTGAACATAGTGTCTTTATGCAGAGATATGCAAATGAATTACCTTCATAAAAATGATAATTTTGAGAAACCTTAGAACAGCATAATTACGTGGCTAAGTGTTACTATAACAAATGTTTTAGGGAGTCGTGTGTTAAGGGGTACTGTGAAGAATCCTGAAACTACATTATAAAGTGGTATTAAATATACTAAAACAAGATCTATAAGAATGTAGTCATTGTACCAAATTAATAATAGTTATCAAAAAATAACTACAGCTTCTTCAAAGAGAATATGAACTTTCCTAGTGCTAGACAACTTTCCTAGTCCATCATGGTTAGACCCATACCACATGCTAGGCAATTGTGAGATTGTTAGTTGATGAATTTTTCTAATTCCATACTTTTGTGCATTCCCCCACAAATTGAATTAAAAATGACTCAAATCCATACGTTTTTTGTTTTATTTTATTTTATGTATTGGTTTTTGGGACAGTCTCACTATGTAGCCCAGGCTGGCCTCAAACTCACAACAATCTTCTTGCCAGCAGAGTGCTGGGATTATAGGCAAGCACCACCGTGCCCGACTTCACACCAATTTTTGAACTTAGTTGGTCCAAGTCATTTCCTGTTGACTGGAATCTGAAAAAAAAAATGTCATCATCGTCAGCAAAGCTCTGTCTTAGAGAAGTGCTTTAGTGCTATATTCCTGAGTTTGCCCAATGATGGCATTGATACTGGAATTTATGTTCTCTCTTTGGCTGTTGGAAATTTAGGTTTCCATGCGTGACACTCTATATTCTCCAGCATTAAGGTTATACTTATTTATTACATGAGTAAGTATTGTGACTCAATATGAATGTGAATTTGCAGAAAGATTGAAGTACATATCTGTATAAGCTATAAATATGTGCAGAAATTGGAGAATGCTCAAATTTAGCATAAGGCTCATAAAAAGAAAGTTTTCATTTCCCATTTGTTTAGACCTATTTGTTTATCAGTAGAACTCCTTAGTTATAAACAGTACTTTGTTTTTCCAGAATAAGAAATGAAGATGCATACATACTTAGGCCATTATAATGTGGTGGGTTCCTGTATGTACATATATACAGGTCGTCTTTTTCACAGAGTAACTTGTTTTCTCTGAGAAGCAACCAGGCAGTGACACCTTCCTTAGCTCCATCTGTGTTGCCGAGCTTCTTCCAGCAGGCAGGAACACACCTGTGAAAGAATCCAAGGTGGCTGCTCAGGCTTCTCCCTCACTGTTATATGTAAACCACATATAAAGGCCTTATGGGAAGGGTTCTAACAAATTGTGCTCTGCGGTTCTTATACTGAAACCTTTCTACCATTGTCGAAAAAATTTTAAGATGTGCTTTCTTTTTCCGGCACTCAGATGAGTATAGAATCAAACCAGTGGAAGAGGTCAAATACATGAAAAATGGGGCCGAAGAGGAGCAGAAAATAGCAGCAAGGAACCAAGAAAACTTGGTAAGAATTGGATTTCTCACTTACCAGTAAATTTTGGTGACACCATCGTAATAAAATCTGTACACTGGCATAAGATTTCTTGAAAATGCTGCTACTATTTATAGCTTGCCTGGAAGCAGCACCATTGCTCCTATATCCTGTTTGTTTCTGGATAAGCCTTTCTTTCATCTAGATAAAGAATGTGCCAGGGAAAATGCAGTAAAATTATTAGTGTTTTGAAAGACCTAAATTTTTGAGAGGGGAGCATGAAATTGAGAATGTTTCACCCTTCCACCTCATATCCACGTTGGAGTGAATGGAAAAGTTTAATTATTCTAGGCATGCAATGTTGAGGAAGTTGCCTTTCAAAGGAAATAATGTATTTTCAAGATAGATCTCTGTCTACAGAGTTAATACTTCTCATTCACAATTGTAAAAATATTGAAGATTTTGACTTAGTGTGAGATATGTAATGATATGAAATGTAATAATATCCAATAGGAAGCTAAGAAACTTAAAAATACAAATCAGTATACATATTAGACTTTATTATAATCTCTGTAGAAGTATCTAGGTAATTTACTTATTAAGTGATTTCTTACAAATTGTTAAGAATATGCATTATTCACTTGTATTGGAGCAAAAAGATCTTTTTTAATATTTGGCATATAGTATATTCTTTGATTATTTGTTTTCTCTATGACTGGGTAAATATGTTTTTAAGAAGTCTGAAGTATTATAAAATATTTTCATTTCATTTAAGCTTTCCTTTCCTTGTGTGCTTTGTTTTTATTTTAATGATTTTTGCCATCACAGAGGAATTTGGCAGAATATTAACCAGTGCTCATAAGTATTTTTAGGCTATCATTTTTCATGATGCTGTTGTGAATATTAGCCTCATTTTTTTTTGCTTTAATCAAAATATTGAAGTATGAACTATTGAATATTTTAGATCATTTTTTTAAAAATGAAAATACTCTAGATATTGAAATACTTCATGAATCAGATTTGATTCTTGAAGTGTAATTTAAATTTCAGTCATCATATCTATAGTGATATATTTTAACACGTTACCTGTGATTAAATAGTAAAAGTTAATATTATCAGTCTTCATATGTAATTTTTAAAATTTTTTGGATAAATCAAAGACCTAAGCAGATAAAATATTTGCTTTAATTTACTAAAAACTATAGAGTTGAGCCTTGCTCGACATCATTTCAACTTGAGTTATAAATCTCATCTTAATAATGTGACCATTGGAGGTTGCAGAGATGCTGGCTCCTTGGACCTGATGGGTGCTGTGTGTGTCTACTTCTCATGTTTCTGTCCCAGGACTCTTAAAGGAAGCAACACTTTCCATCACTGTTTTTCTCAATGTGCTTTCTCTCTAGTTAGTGCCAAGACAACTTTCTTCTTTCAATTTAGTTCAGTTGTGCAATCTGTCAACTATGTGCTAGTGTATTCTTTGTCAGCACTGTGGCCAGAGTTAACATTGGTGCCTTTCTGTGGATACTGAATGGAGACTTGAAAAAGAGCAAAAACTTCTGGTCTTCTCACGTGTGTGTTATCTGTGACAAAGATAGTTTTCAGTTATGTAAAGGTTTGCTTGGGGAGTGATAACTAAGCAGTTATCTTTGATTTTGAAATTACAAGGCTGCTTTCTGAAATTAAAAGTAACTTCCAGTTATCTAATAGTAAGAATATGGTCTTCGTTAGCTACTATATCCTTTGGGGTGCATAATCAGCTATCACTATGCATGTTATTTTTAAAAAACTAATGTCTCGGGCCTGGGGGTTTAGCTCAGCAGCATAAACACCTGCCTTGCAAGCAGGCGGTCGTGAGTTCAATCCCCGGTACTGATAAAAATGAAAAAGACCAAAAAAACAAAAACAAAAACTAATGTCTCCTAAACCTGAAGCTTACACTAATAGGTGGATGAAATAGATTTCAACTTTTTTAATTTCACAGTCTTTAAGATAATCTATGAATTTAGAAGTTTTTATATTTCAAAGAATGATTCTTGGATGTAAGTCAAGAGTGTTTTTTAAAAAGATTTATTAGCCAGGTGTCGTGGTGCACACCTGGAATCCCAGCATTCAGGAGGCTAAGGCAGGAAGATCACTGCAAGTTTGTGGCCCACCTGGGCTACATAGTGAGTTCAAGACCAGCCTGAACTGCATAGGAAGATACTGTCTCAAAAAATTAAAAAAAATAAAATAAAACATAAAAATATTTTTTTAACCCAAACTGTTGAAATTAAGGGGATCAGCATACTCAATGAAGGCTGTATGGCATGATGATGAAGACTTTGAACTTTAGAAGCAAAAACTGTCTTAGTTCAACTCTCAGCTCTGCCAATTGTTCACTTCAAGATTGAGTTACTTCACTTCTTTAAATCTACCACCCATGAAAATGGGGAGAAAACAGTGCCTTTTACTACTGGTGTGAGAGTTACATAAGAAGGTGATTAAGACTTTGATATAGCACATAATGTCAGCATTTGGGGGAGTTAGGCATTGTCAGTCAACAAAAGGAAAGAATGAAGAATGTTATAGAAAATCAGTTTCTTTTTCCTTTATGTTAATTAATGAGAAATCTCTAAATAAATTCTTTAGTTAATGTCAACATTGCATGTATTTGGGAAAACCTTGCTCTAAGACCATGAAATGATTTAAAAAGGATTCTTTGAGTACTTTTTATGTACAGAGCACTTAGTAAGTATTGAGAGCTACAAGGTACTTAAAGTTATACTTCTTAAGAAACTTACAGTAAAGTTGAGAGAACAGTTCGATTCAGCAAACAAGGTACTGCACTAGATTCTTCAGGGAAACAGAAAAATAAGAAACCACTGACCTTCATTTTTACATGCTTAGGTTACTGTCAGCAGAGATAGTAGCAAGTGAGTATAAATAAAACAGCCTAAGATTGACTTTCATTGCTGTAGGAGGTGGAGATCACGTCTCTTGAACCCACAGGACATACTTGGTGAATGAGCTGACGTGTATGATGCCCTTGAAGTGTGAAATGACCACAAATGCCCCAGGCAGAAATAACCATTAGAAAGCATAAAACAAATACTCCTGTTTGACTGGGGAGTGACAGGGGGAAGAAGAAGGTATTGATAGAGAATCAGTGAAAGAGCACAATCAAAATGTACGCAGTTTAATATATAGATCCTTAATGCCCAGAAGAGAAGTCTGAAATTAATGGAGTAGATGAAAGGGAGATTCAGATGCTTTTAGGCCCAGCATCGGCAGGATGAGATTGTAATTCAGGGAAGTTTCTATGGCAACAGCTGGTATAATATTGGCACTAGGAACCAAGACAGAACTCTCATCATAATAGTTTTAGTAAGAGGCAATGGGCCTGAACCAAGATGATGGCAGGAAAATTAAAAAAGACTTGGGTAAAGTTGTAGAAGTCAAAGCAGTACGATTTGGCAGCTTATTAGATATTAAAAGACAGCATAGGCATTAAGAGATAATGGTAATACCATTTTCTTGACCACCTGGAAAAATGGGTTTGTGGCAATGAGAGTAAGTCATGAATGACCTCAATGAAGTGGTTAAATCAGTAGGAAGATTGTGCTTGATGCAAAATCACATGCTTAGTCATTCATTATTCATTTTTGCCTACCCTTAAGAGTCATAATGTGATACACTAGAAAACCATGATGCAATGTAATGAGTACGTAAAACACCAGAAACTTCTAGATTTTTATGCCAAGAACTGCGGGTCACAAAAGCACATGAGACATGGATCCCATCCTTGTAAGCTCACTTTCTCTTAAGAGATAGAAAGTTTGTGACCTAAATGAATGTAATTCAAGGTACAGTGTGAAAGTTGGGGTTGGCTTTCAGCAAGCAAAACTTTAGGAACTTGTAGAACATCCATATAGAAACTTCTAGTAGAAGGGGGAAAGAATGATATGGAATTCAGTAGCTGGAAACACATCATCTGCTTAGTGTGTTGGGAATGAGTTAGCACAGTTGCACCTGCAGGTGTGCATTTGCATTGGGTTGACCACTTTGAGTGCCCAAGACAGCCCGAAGAGGCAGCAGTCACAGCATGCGTGCTGGGACCCTGAGCCCCTCTGTGGTCTGTGGTGTTCATGGGAGGTGTGCGTTTGTCCCTTGTCATTGCCTTCTGCTCCACATTGGGGATCCTTTGATTCTTCCAAGGTCTGGACTTGCGTAGTCAGAGCCTGACCTGGAACCTGCCTACTTCCTTCATATACTACCCTTGAATTTTTGCCTGGTTTACTCTTACTTGGTTTTGAGACTGCAGCTAATTGTTTTTCCAGATCTCAATTGTTTGTTCTCTCTGATTACATTTGTACTGTCCTCTATAGTACTCAGCACAATTGTTTTGTAACAAATGTGAGTAATTTACTTCATAAACATTCCTCTCTTAGATAGTTAGCTCATGATGCTAAAAATCTTACTTGTTTGGCATATAAGTTCTACATATAGCACCCAATAGTACATAGCACCTAGTAATTGCTTAATAAATGCTTAAGCCTTTCAGTCACTTGAGGCCTCTGACTATAGTTTCCATGGCTGGAACTCATGCTGAATTTCTGAAGCTGATGATGAATCATTTATATGTCAATCATTCATGCATTTGCAATTTGAAGATATGCGTGTATTCCAATTTTCATTATTGCTTGACAGCCATATGTCTCACTTTGGCTTCTCTCAGACTTTAATTCTTTCTAGGATTCACTTATATTTCGATAGTCAAAAAGATGATATATCCATAACCATATTTTTAGCTTTATCACTTGGACTCCAAATTCTTGATCTGGAACCTGAGAATAACAATATTATTAGAATATTAGAAGAAAATATTTAATTTGGGGACATGTTTAGCATTTTAGCAAAGAGAGTCTTCCTTAACAAAGACATAGAAAGCAAAAACTACAAAGAAAACTCTCAGTACATCAAAGTTAAATACTTTGTAAAATAAAATAACTGAAGAATAATAGATGGGCAAGATCCTTGAGAAAATATTTATGCTC